TCTTCTTGAATTCTCAGGTGGGCACGCTTCTGGCGAGCCGGTGGTCACAATGAGCTGGAACTTCCTGACGAGTTTGTTGGAGGAAATATCTTTGCACTCGACGTACCTGGGCAAGCTGTGGCTCACCACGTTCCTGATCTTGCGCATCATGCTGACGATCGTGGCGGGCGAATCCATCTACCACGACGAGCAGAGCTCGTTCATGTGCAACTCCCAACAGCCGGGCTGCACGAACATGTGCTACGACACCTTCGCTCCCCTGTCCTACGTGCGCTTCTGGATCTTTCAGATTATCACCGTGGCGACGCCAAGCATTCTCTACCTCGCCTTCGCCATACACAGGATACAGAGGTCTAGTGAAGTTACACTATGAGACATCTCCTTTACCAGTGGCAAAATATAGTAGTAGGTTTTTACCCTTTCAACTGGTACAAAAACTGACACCTTTATACAAGGCATCATTTTGAGTTGTACGCCTTCTGGTGTCATCTGGTCCAACACCAATGGGGACTAGGCTCTAAAGAAAGCCGTCTCGGGTTTGGACCAATCAACTTCAAGGACAGTGCATATTATTATCATTATCAAAGTTGTTTATTTTTGTTTGCATTTTGACTACTTGTGTTGTGGTTATTGCAAACATGATACCTTGTATAAAGGTGTCAGTTTTTGTACCAGTTGAAAGGGTAAAAACCTACTACTATATTTTGCCACTGGTAAAGGAGACATCTCATAGTGTAAATGCTTACCCCGAGCTCTCAATACTCTGATGGTGCGCTGTCTTTGAGTTGTACGCCTTCTGGTGTCATCTGGTCCAACACCAATGGAGACTAGGCTCTAAAGAAAGCCGTCTCGGGTTTGGACCAATCAACTTCAAGGACAGTGCATATTATTATCATTATCAAAGTTGTTTATTTTTGTTTGCATTTTGACTACTTGTGTTGTGGTTATTGCAAACATGATGCCTTGTATAAAGGTGTCAGTTTTTGTACCAGTTGAAAGGGTAAAAACCTACTACTAGGCCTAGTAAAGTTACAACGACGACGATAACGGCGATGTCCCCCAAAAAAACCTTAATTCTACTCTTTGTTCTTGCGAGAAGGAGATTTTTAACTTTTACTCCCGCTGTCGTTATCCGCAGGTCAGAAAGCTCGCGAGGCGACCAAGGAGGGGAGTTTGCCGACGAGGCCGGCGCCGGCGGCGGCGGCGGCGAGGTCAAGAAGAACGACTTTAGACGGCACGACGGGCGTCGCGCTATCAGGGCCGACGGCCTCATGTGGGCCTACGCGCTGCAGCTCGTCCTGCGCACGGTGGCCGAAGCGGGTTTCCTTCTGGGCCAGTACGTGATGTACGGCTTGGAGGTGATCCCCCGCTTTGTGTGCCCCCGCCGCTACCCCTGCGTCCACTTCGTCGACTGCTTCGTGTCGAGGCCCACGGAGAAGACCGTCTTCCTGCACGTCATGTACGCCGTGGGCTGCCTCAGCCTGGCTCTCGACCTGGCCGAGATGTGGCACCTGGGGATGGGCGCTCTCAGGGATCTGCTGCCGGGCAGCCGAGCCAAGCGCCGGCAACGGTATTTACAGCGCTATGAGACATCTCCTTTAGCAGTGTCAAAATATAGTGGTAGGTTTTACCCTTTAAACTGGTACAAAAACTGGGACCACCTTTATACAAGGCATTAGACCTATGAGACATCTCCTTTACAGTGGCAAAATATAGTAGTAGGTTTTACCCTTTAACTGGTACAAAAACTGACACCTTTATACAAGGCATCATACACTATGAGACATCTGCCTTTACCAGTGGCAAAATATAGTAAGTAGGTGTTTTACCTTTTAAACTGGTACAAAACTGACACTTTATACAAGGCATAATGTTTGCAATAACCACAACACAAGTAGTCAAGAAGGCAAACAAAAAGAAACAACTCTGATAATGATAATAATATGCACTGTCCTTGAAGTTGTTTGGTCCACACCCGAGACCTTAGGCACTAGTGTTGCACAGGCCTTCAGTGGTGATGTTCTACAACCTGCTACGGCTGCTAACTTCTGTTGCACAGGCCTTCAGTGGTGATGTTCTACAACTGCTACGGCTGCTAACTTCTGTTGCACAGGCCTTCAGTGGTGATGTTCTACAACTGCTACGGCTGCCAACCCATGTCACTAACTCCCTCCGCTGTCACTCGGATCTTTCACGCGGCACTTGAAACTGGACGTGCGTCGTCGCTGCCGACACGTCAGTGGTCGCAGCCGTGTACCCGATACCTGTACCCTACAAGATACCCGGGTACCCGTACCCGGCCGGGTACGGGTAGCCGTTTGCGACCCTGGTGCGGCGGGTACGGGTACGGGTAAGGAATCAAAACCCGTTTGCGACCTCTGCGACACGTTCGTTGCTCAGCCAGTGCCCTCATTCGACGGGAGGGCGCGCCGCGTGCCCGCACTTCGGCAGATCCCACTTGAAATTATTGGGGGGAGAGGAAAAATATCGCGGGCGGAAATGTCTCTCGCTATATTTTTTTTTTTGACCACGGTCATCGCATCGGATGCCGTTTGTTTTCACCGATAAAAAATATTCGATGACATCATGGGACCTCACGTCAGGTTTTGAGATATCAAATATTGCATTTTCAATAAAAAGTGCATAAGAAAAATATTAAATAAATGTGGATATTTACTTAAAATTATATTGTAAACACACTATCCTAAAATACAGCACCATATTTTAAACACTAAGCAGTCACTGACTCGCAACAACTTGCAATCATAAGTTTTTTTTTTGTTAATTTCGGGTAAATCAATGAAATGGGGTATGCCGATAGCATAAAAAAAAATAGAGATGTGATAGAGCAAATCTGAGATCAGATTTGGAATCAGCACCCTGAAATTAGTCTAGAACAGCTGCAAAAGTCCAGGCCAGAAAAAATGTTTTTTTTTGTTGACCAGTGTAATGATATTCCATGCTGCTTTTTTTTGCTCATTTTGCAATGGGACAAAACACTTTCAACTCCGGTGTAGTGGAGCGAGGAGGCATAAGGCGGGCAGCTCATGCCTCCTCAATCATCAGAATGAAGGTCAATGGAATTTATCTTTGATTTTGGGGGACAATTGTCAGATTCCGACACAGCGGGAACTTTGGGCTACGGCTCGCTCTCGGGAACCTAACCCTTCCATAACCCAGGGGACCGTCTGCATCAGAGGTCGCAACCGGGTACCCGATACCCGTACCCTACCCGATACCCGGCTACCCGTACCCGGCCGGGTACGGGTAGCCGGGTAGCCGTTTGTGACCCTGGTGCGGCCGGGTACGGGTAGGTTGTGAGTCACTGGTGAGTCGCCGTTTGTCACTCATTTCGGGTAGGGTACGGGGTAAGGAATCAAACCCGTTTGCGACCTCTGGTCTGCATACACTTTGCCAAGACTAACGGTGAGCATTTAAAACGCGCTGTTGTTGCTGTTGTCATCAACAGGATTGCGAAGGTCAATCCTCTTCCTCCTCGTCCTCCTCCTCCTCCCGACGCGGCCGAGACAGAGGAGGCCGCCCCCCGGCAGATGGCGATAACGGCGGCGGATGCGTTGCAGCTGCAAGGCTACCTGCGCGCGATAGAGCGGCGGCTGGACCTGACGATTTTCCAATCGCCCCGACGGGCCAGGGCAGTGTGGGGACACGGAGAGAGTGGAACAGGGAGAGGTGGGGGAGGCGGAGAGGGAGGACGGCGGGGGTCTCCGGCCTCACACTCGGCCGCGGTGGCCGTGAGCAGAAGCCCCCAAGTGCAGCCGGGCAAGAAACACGAAGCGGCGGCGGCAGCAGCAGAAGTGGAAGATTCGGAGAAAAACAAGAAGAGGTCAAGGCCGCCTCTAGGAAGGGAAGGGCTGTCCGATCGGAGAAATATCTACGCATCTCAGTTTAAGTTTCATTACTCTTCGGTTCTTTCGGTAAAGTCCCGTAGGTGTGAATACATATTTTATTTTTCTTGGTTCTTTCGGTAAAGTCACGTAGAAGGGAAGTAATAAAATAATAAAATATAACACAATGAAACAATAAAATATTGTGTTTTATTTTTATTATTTTATTACTTCCCTTCTACGTGACTTTACCGAAAGAACCAAGAAGATGAATCCCTGCAGTCACGAAAGCTTTAAATCGAAATTTTTATTTTTGTTTTATTTATTTCTACCCACGTGACTTTACCAAAGGAATCAAAGAGGATGGATTCCTGCAGCCACGAAAGCTTCAAATCGCCTTTTAAGTTTCCTGTTGCGAGTTTGACGCCGAGTTATTCACAAATAAAGGTCTTCTCTTTGGGGGGTCAGATCTCGCGTGAGTTGTGGATGTGTCGTTGAGCCCCCCACCACCCGGCATCAGCCTCCCACCACTACACTACTATACACTATTATACACTATACTTCTATACACTACACTACTATACACTACACTACTATACACTACACTACTATACACTACACTACTATACACTACACTACTATACACTACTCTAAACTACACATGACACTATACACTACACTATTATACACTACACTACTATACACTACACTATTATACACTATACACTACACTACTATACACTACACTATTATACACTATACACTACACTACTATTCACTATACACTACACTACTATACACTATACACTACACTATTATACACTATACAACTATACACTATACACTACACTACTATACACTACACTATACACTACACTACTATACAGTACACTACTATACACTACACTATACTACACATGACACTATACACTACACTATACACTACACAACTATACACTACACTATACACTACAGTACTAAACAATACACTACTATACACTACACTACTATACACTAAACTACTATACACTACACTATACACTACAGTATCTTCTTGGTTTTTTCGGTAAAGTCATGTAGAAGGGAAATAATAAAATAATAAAAATAAAACATAATAAAATAGTATTTTATTATATAATATTATTTTATAATGTTTTATTTTTATTATTTTATTTTTTCCCTTCTACGTGACTTTACCGAAAAAATCAAGAAGATGAATCCCTGCAGTCACGAAAGCTTTAAATCGAAATATAGACTACAGTAATATAGACTACACACTACACCACGTGACACGAGGGTGGGGGGAGGGGCTGTCACGTGCTGGGGGGGGGGTGGTTTTGAGGAGGGAGGCGATGCGAGCCAATCAGTGGGGGGTGCGCGTGTCACGTGATCAAAGGAATCGCTTTAGTAAACGATTCGCTTGCCCGCGAATCGATCTCCGTTGGATTCCAAGGAATCGACGTTTCAAGCCCGAGGCACTTTTCCGGATCGACTCGAAAAGGAGAATCGAAATCACGATTCACGATCCACAATGGCGGCGCTGGTCATGATGTCGGCAGCTGTTGACTAATCGCCTCCAGCCACTAGTACCACACGTACCACTAGTACCACACGTACCACTAGTACTACACTACTACTAGTACCGCACGTACCACTAGTACCGCACGTACCACTAGTACAGCACGTACCACTAGTACCACTAGTACCACACGTACCACTACTACCACACGTACCACTACTACCGCACGTACCACTAGTACCGCACGTACCACTAGTACCACACGTACCACTAGTACCAACTACTACCACACGTACCACTACTACCACACGTACCACTACTACCGCACGTACCACTACTACCACACGGACCACTAGTACCACTAGTACCACACGTACCACTAGTACCACACGTACCACTAGTACCGCACGTACCACTACTACCCACGCACTACTAGTACCGCACGTACCACTAGTACCACACGTACCACTACTACCACACGTACCACTACTACCACACGTACCACTAGTACCGCACGTACCACTAGTACCACACGTACCACTAGTACCACACGTACCACTAGTACCACTACTACCGCACGTACCACTACTACCACACGTACCACTAGTACCGCACGTACCACTAGTACCACACGTACCACTAGTACCACACATACCACTACTACCACACGTACCACTAGTACCACACGTACCACTAGTACCACTACTACCGCACGTACCACTACTAACGCACGTACCACTACTACCGCACGTACCACTACTACCACACGTACCACTACTACCACACGTACCACTACCACTACTACCACACGTACCACTAGTACCACACGTACCACTAGTACTGCACGTACCACTACTACCACACATACCACTACTACCACACGTACCACTAGTACCGCACGTACCACTAGTACCACACGTACCACTAGTACCACACGTACCACTAGTACTACACGTACCACTAGTACCACTAGTACCACTACTACCACTAGTACCACACGTACCACTAGTACCACACGTACCACTAGTACCACACGTACCACTAGTACCACACGTACCACTACTACCACTAGTACCACTACTACCACACGTACCACTACTACCACACGTACCACTACTACCGCACGTACCACTACTACCGCACGTACCACTACTACTGCACGTACCACTAGTACCGCACGTACCACACGTACCACTAGTACCACACGTACCACTAGTACCACTACTACCACTAGTACCACACGTACCACTAATACCACTAGTACCACACGTACCACTAGTACCACACGTACCACTAGTACCACACGTACCACTAGTGCCACTACTACCACACGTACCACTAGTACCACACGTACCACTACTACCACACGTACCACTACTACCACACGTACCACTACTACCGCACGTACCACTAGTACCGCACGTACTACTACCGCACGTACCACTACTACCGCACGTACCACTAGTACCACACGTACCACTAGTACCGCACGTACCACACGTACCACTAGTACCACACGTACCACACGTACCACACGTACCACTAGTACCACACGTACCACTAGTACCACACGTACCACACGTACCACTAGTGCCACTACTACCACACGTACCACTAGTACCACACGTACCACTAGTACCACACGTACCACTAGTACCACTAGTACCACACGTACCACACGTACCACTAGTGCCACTACTACCACACGTACCACTAGTACCACACGTACCACAACTACCACACGTACCACTACTACCGCACGTACCACTACTACCGCACGTACCACTACTACCACACGTACCACTACCGCACGTACCACTACTACCATACGTACCACTACTACCACACGTACCACTACTACCACACGTACCACTACTACCGCACGTACCACTACCGCACGTACCACTACTACCACACGTACCACTACTACCACACGTACCACTACTACCCACGTACCACTACTATCGCACGTACCACTACTACCACACGTACCACTACTACCGCACGTACCACACGTACCACTAGTACCACACGTACCACTAGTACCACACGTACCACTAGTGCCACTACTACCACACGTACCACTAGTACCACACGTACCACTAGTACCACACGTACCACTAGTACCACTACTACCACACGTACCACTACTACCACACGTACCACTACTACCACACGTACTACTACCGCACGTACCACTAGTACCACACGTACCACTACTACCACACGTACCACTACTACCACACGTACCACTACTACCACACGTACTACTACCGCACGTACCACTAGTACCACTACTACCACACGTACCACTAGTACCACACGTACCACTACTACCACACGTACCACTACTACCCACGTACCACTACTACCACACGTACCACTACTACCACACGTACCACTAGTAGTAGTACAACTAGTACCACACGTACCACTAGTAGTAGTAGTACTACAACTACCACTACTACCATACGTACCGGCGACGGCCGCTGGAAAAGCCGGCGCCGCTGACGGGCGCAGAGCCCCCGGGCACGGCGATCGACGGGCCGGCGGTGGTGGTGGTGGGGTTCCGTTGAAGGCTCCGCGGTCGGGCTGACGGCAGCGCCGAACCCAGAGAGAGAGACACGGCGAAGGGTCCCCCTCAGGGAGTGATGTAGGATCACCCTCAGCGGGGGCCGATACCGTTGGCTGCCATCGGAGCAGAAACCGCGCAAAAATCCCCTAGGCCCAGCGGTAGAATCCCCGAGGCTCTAAAATGGCCGTGCCTTTCAGACAATGGCCTCACTCCCGTGAGCTCTGAAATCTTATTTTCAGCCCTAAGGCTGTGACTCCCACATTTAAGCACGAGTGTGGAGATGATTGTGTTCTCTAAGTAATAATTCTAAAGCAATTTTACTCAATTCCTAGTAATTTGCGTGTGCGTGGATTCCGTCGCGATATAGAATGTTTCCTCTGAGACAAATTCGAAATGTAAAAACATGCTTGAGTATTGCAATTACGTTTTCATTTTAAACAATTGTATCGTCTGTTAGCATGTGTATTGTTGCAGTGTCACCTTGAAAGTATGCTTGAATTCCAACCCCTATACGTCACAAAGTTTTGAACATGTACTTGTTATCGCATGTAAATGTACAATTTTATAATTCTGACAAGATTGTTGGCTTGTGTTGCCACTGCTCCTCTGTCACCGTGTTTTTTCGCAGTAATTTGTACACTGACATCACTGCGTGACAATAAATGTGCGGTCTCTTTTCAGGGCTTGGTGTTGCAATGCCACATTCCCCAAATTAGAAGTGGATAAACTCAACAATCCCCAAATGAGACGCGGATAACCAGAGTTTACCCGTATTTAGTAGCCTAACACATGGCGATTAGCGTGGTTGACTACGTACGGTGTGAAAGACGCTCAGCATACAGAGAGACATGAAGCTATTGTGAAACCCAATGGTGTTATTTTCACTCACATCACGATGTGATACATCAATGTTGTCAGACTTAAATAAAATTTCATTATATGTGTAGAGGAGTAAAATGGGGACGTGACGTCAGGTGTGCCGTTCAGTGCGATGACGTCACGTCTCCTAGGAGCACACTCTTAAAGTGAGTGCTCCTAATCTCAGCTTGTTACCTGTATAAAAGACACCTGTTCACAGAAGCAATCAATCAGATTCCAAACTCTCCACCATGGCCAAGACCAAAGATGCTCAGCATGCAGAAAGACACGAAGCTATTGTGAAACCCAATTGTGTTATTCCTTTTCACTCACATCACGATGTGATACATCAAGGTGGTCAGACTTAAATCAAATTTCATTATATGCATGAATGTGCTGTATCTCAATGGGGGCCTCATTGTTAAAGGTCATAAAGCAATAAATAAATCGCAAAGATCCGTGATACATTCTAGATTTGAAGCTTTCGTGGCTGCAAGGATTCATATTCTTTGTTTTTTTCGGTAAAGTCACGTAGGTAAAAAATTAATAAAAGTAAAATAAAAATCACAACGTTTCGGAGGCAACACAAGCTTCCGTCTTCAGGTGGAACCGTCGTGATTTTTATTTTATTTTACTTTTATTAATAAAAAATTTTTACCTACGTGACTTTACCGAAAAAACCCAAAGATTATGACTATCCGTGATACAGTTCAAATCAATTCCATTAACACTTATAATGAATCCCAGCGACCTCAGACGGTTGAACAAAAGGCAGAAATTATATTAAAGCTCGTTAATAAATAATGCAATGAAATGGGTGGGTGGGTGTGATGATTACATTAAACAAACTCGCCAAACTCATTGCACGAACACCGCCCCGTGCGATGTAAAAGCACACAGACAGGGGAGTGACATCCTCTTTTTATTACACGCTTTTATTTAACTCACTCAGTCTGTTGTATCCTCCAAAAAACATCTTCTCTAATAACTCAAATTTTACCCACTTCCCAAAGTGCTATCGACTGCAAACTTGAAATACATACGTCATACTGATGACAACACGATATTCTATCATAAAACATCCAAAACACATTTTTAAACATTTTACACGCTTTTATGTAACTCACTCAGTCTGTTGTATCCTCCAAAAAACGTCTTCTCCAACTCATAATTTTACCCACTTCCCAATGTGCTATCGACTGCAAACTTGAAATATCTACGTCATACTGATGACAACACGATATTCTATCATAAAACATCCAAAACATATTTTTAAACATTTTACACGCTTTTATGTAACTCACTCAGTCTGTTGTATCCTCCAAAAAACGTCTTCTCCAACTCATAATTTTACCCACTTCCCAATGTGCTATCGACTGCAAACTTGAAATATCTACGTCATACTGATGACAACACGATATTCTATCATAAAACATCCAAAACATATTTTTAAAACATTTTACACGCTTTTATGTCACTCACTCCGTCGGTTGTTGTATCCTCAAATCTTGAAACTCACTTTTAACCGTCTTCACAATGTCGTATCGACTGCAAACTTGGCATAGGTACGTCATACCGATGACAATACTATATTCTATCATTAAACATAACTTCAACATCCGCGAAGCTCCTTCTCAAGATGTGAAATATTCGGTGCCCTTGGCAGCTTTGCATCCCGGGTGAGCGCGCAATCTCCATTTCGCCCCCGCCCCATCAGGCGAAGTTCCAGTTGATTTTGTCGAGTCGAGGCTGAGAAGTCGAGAGACCACGAGGGAGTTGCGTTTGTCGGAGCGAGCGGCGGCCCCGATGTTCCCCAAAAATACGACAGCTTTATTGAGATACCCGATAAGCTCGTCCCTAGCTACCGACAGGCCATGTGACCATTCAGAAGAACTCGCAGAGCATTACAGGACTCCTCATTTATCCACGAGATTATAACATCGGAGGGGAACCACGGTGGATAGATGTTGATTACCTCTCCTGGTGTACAGGAGGTCGTGGGTTTGATCTCGACCCTGACGACGCCTGCTGCTGTATGTTTGGAGTTTGAGTGTCTCTCATCATCATGGTGGCTAGCAGATGTTGATTACCTCGCCTGGTGTACAGGAGGTCGTGGGTTTGATCTCGACCCTGACAACGCCTGCTGCTGTATGTTTGGAGTTTGAGTGTCTCTCATCATCATGGTGGCTAGCAGATGTTGACTATCTCGCCTGGTGTACAGGAGGTTGTGGGTTTGATCTCGACCCTGACGACGCCTGCTGCTGTATGTTTGGAGTTTGAGTGTCTCTCATCATCATGGTGGCTAGCAGATGTTGATTACCTCGCCTGGTGTACAGGAGGTCGTGGGTTTGATCTCGACCCTGACGACGCCTGCTGCTGTATGTTTGGAGTTTGAGTGTCTCTCATCATCATGGTGGCTAGCAGATGTTGACTATCTCGCCTGGTGTACAGGTGGTCGTGGGTTTGATCTCGACCCTGAAGACGCCTGCTGCTGTATGTTTGAAGTTTGAGTGTCTCTCATCATCATGGTGGCTAGCAGATGTTGACTATCTCGTCTGGTGTACAGGAGGTTGTGGGTTTGATCTCGACCCTGACGACGCCTGCTGCTGTATGTTTGGAGTTTGAGTGTCTCTCATCATCATGGTGGCTGGAAGATGTTGACTATCTCACCTGGTGTACAGGAGGTTGTGGGTTTGATCTCGACCCTGACGACGCCTGCTGCTGTGTTTGGAGTTTGAGTGTCTCTCATCATCATGGTGGCTAGCAGATGTTGACTATCTCGCCTGGTGTACAGGAGGTCGTGGGTTTGATCTCGACCCTGACGACGCCTGCTGCTGTATATTTGGAGTTTGCGCATCTCTCTCCCCATGGTTGTGTGGATTTTTTTCACGGCACCCTCCGGCTTTTCCCCTCCATGTGCATTGGCCGCTGCTATAAAAGTCCACGTGATAAGCCACCTCATTCGGCGAGGTCGCTTTCGGAAAAAAAGACCTCTATCTCAGTGGGCCTTGCCTGGTGAAATATATAGTAAACAGTTAGTAAGTCACATGACCAAGACGTACAATTCCGCAGGCTGCAATTGACAAGACCCAGGGGGTTGGCAGCCTGACGCGTCGGAGCTGCATGCGGCCCTTTAAGGACTGCTTTGTGACGTCATTCATCACGTGCATTGAGGCTCTTTAAGGACTGCTTTGTGGCGTCATTCATCACGTGCATTGAGGCTCTTTAAGGACTGCTTTGTGACGTCATTCATCACGTGCATTGAGGCTCTTTAAGGACTGCTTTGTGACGTCATTCACCACGTGCATTGAGGCTCTTTAAGGGTTGCTTTGTGATGTCATTCATCACGTGCATTGAGGCTCTTTAAGGACTGCTTTGTGACGTCATTCATCACGTGCATTGAGGCCCTTTAAGGACTGCTTTGTGACGTCATTCATGACGTGCATTGAGGCCCTTTAAGGGCTGCTTTGTGACGTCATTCATCACGTGCATTGAGGCTCTTTAAGGGTTGCTTTGTGACGTCATTCATCACGTGCATTGAGGCCCTTTAAGGGTTGCTTTGTGACGTCATTCATCACGTGCATTGAGGTACAGTTCTCGCAATCATCCATAAGTTGAGTTTTGCCGGGAGAAAAGCGCCGAGTAGTTAAGACTTGAGTTCTTGCCGAGGCAGACTTAAGTATCGCTGAAAGTTTTCCTCGACGCTTTTTCATTTTCGAGTCACTTGCAGAATAAAGGACTTGGAGAAGTCGTACTGCACTGAGCTAAGAGTTGTGAGCTGAGACGTGGAACAGGTGGAGATTTGAGTCGTCGCACACCGATAGAGTGCCCGAGCGACAGGCTGTAAAAGTTGTTGGTTAAGCCCAGTGACTTGACGTTGTATTTGGTGGAGAGGCCAGGGGAGAGGGGGGGGGGTCACGTGCAGGCTGCTGCTACAGGCAGCGTGCTGGGCCCGACACGCCGCGTTTGAATGTTGAAGCGAGATTCATCGATGTCGTCACGATTGACAATACAAACCCCTAGACAACTAGAGAGCCAGTAACAAGTCGCGATACACTTTGTGCACAATCGAAAATAATCATAAACATACATATTAGTCAAGAATATAAATCACAACAATAATACTCTTTGGTTCTTTCGGTAGTCACGTAGGTATAAAATAA